CTACTTACTTACTCACTTGGCCTGACGAAGCTTTTGTGTCAAAAGCGAAACGTTGCCCAGCAATAAATCCACCGATTGTTTACCAAACCCCTCTGAAACAACTGTAGATCTGTTCAACAAGAAACTAGGCGTCTAATTAGATGACGTCGGTATCTTCAGGTTCCGACTAGTACAATACTTCCGTCCTCGTTTATTTAGTACACCTATTTAGTAGCATTGCCACTGAACAGTTACATATAATTGTACAATACACGGACCGATTTGGATGCTTACTTATGTGTGCTAAATACCTGCGACTATTGCTAGAATCCTTCAAACCTAATAACAAATACCGCTTGATTTACGCACGTTTCCACACAATCTATAATAGAGTCGCGCATAGTAGCGGGGTTAATGCATTGCTCAGCGTAACGGTGCTTGCTGAATAACATTAACGCGTTGAGCATTACACTTTACCAAGAGGATAGGACCTAAATAACTCCCTTATTTTTTTGACGAGATTATCATTTATTGTCAGCAGACAGTGCATCGTTACTTAGCTTATAAACTGCTCATCACTGAAATCAGGCACGGTAGATGCAGGCATTTTATCCGTTTACTTTCGATTACACTTGCGTTTAACGTCTGCTCTGTTTTTTCCAATGTCGAAACTTATCCTTTCATTTGATGCCTACGCATTTTATTTACATTGGGCTGCTTTGGTTACCTTTTGTCGTTTTGGTTTCCTCGTGGATTACACAGTCCTGAACCTAACACCATCCGTCGATCCTCGTTCATTTCAGCTTTTGGTTCTCTTCTCCTCTTTCTCACGTTCAACATCTCAAGTTGAACGTGACAGTCTTGCTCGACTGACGGCCAGCCAACACTTTGAAAACGCTGTTCGAGAAATCCTCCGGAGTAAGTTCAGTTTTGATGTCCACCTGGTGTCTTTTCAAGCATTTTTGTCCGTTATTCCACCCATCCTACCGCTAGTGATATCTTACATCCCTCTCCAATTTTCATTTACAGACTGCTCGTCGCCCCAACTTCTCCAGCGATTAAATGATTCCACCAACTCTGAGGAGCTTCTTGTTTTGTTGGATGAACTGAAGAGCGAGTTGGCTCAAGATGAGGCCTCATGTCACTCCTCCTCCAATCTTATGTTGAGTCACTCTCAGCGCCTGTAAGTCTGCAGTGCAAAGTCAACAGATTGCTGTTTCCAGGCAGAAATAATCTTACTTTTGCTCAAAAACAGGTACTTTTTCCTACCACATCTAGATCCAATCATATTAAGTTGCCTTCCGAAGGGTTCGAAGTTTACCGAGTGCTGTTACGTGACAATCATGGACGTCGCTTCCTCGTTCGCTCAGTGGTATCGCCCTTCAAGTTGCTTTTCCAAATCCCCATGTTCTCTTTTGAGGGGTAATCATGAGGAAATATCATGCGTCCTTGCGAGTGGCGTGATGTTCCCATTTTTTATTATTTTAAAGTACAATCCAGCAAAGAACTTTTCTGCTGAGACCAAGGTCAAGGACACGGAAGATCACAAATCCGTGTAGGTGTGTAGCATCAGTCTGAGTAGTCTTGATGAAGCGACAATGTCCGGATGGCTGAAATGATCGTGCCTGCTGGTCCCTTGTATGCTTACTAGTACCAGAAATCTAGGTAAAGTGCGTGGGGTTCCGGGTGTACTCTCTTAATTCTTCATGTCTAAAGCAGTTTCACTACGGAGCTTTCTTTGACCGGCCTGAACCGACTTTCTAGACTGTTTGCTCAAGTCACCTCTCTTATCTCACTTATAGCATTGAACAGTTCATGTCACTGACCGAGGCACTGTCTCTGCCCTCCACACTCGAACCCGACTTTGGCCGCTCCCAACCACATTCAGAACGAGTCAGTGGAGATCGACTTCGTGAAACGTTCACGGGGCTATGTGCCTCCGATGTCGTGGACTTTTTCACCGCTGCATGTTCCCATCTGGATCAGCTAGCGAATGAACTAAACTCTTTACGGGAACAGGCCAATTTGGCATTTTCCCTCTGATTTACTGGATCGTTTCTTGTGGTGTTCTCTGCTCACAGTTTTTCTCCCGGCAGATTTATCTAGATGCAACGGACTTTGTTTTAAACGAATGTTTCGTTATTTTCATGATTTTTTTCGCTCTGTATAGTCAATGCTATGTCGTGTCTGCCAGCACGAGGCGCCTGACATTGTCCCATATCCCCTTTTCTATGTACCTGCTCCATGTACAGCCTAGGTTTTGCAAGAACGATGTAACTTCCGGGGGTCACAAGATCACATGTAGTTTTCGTAGTTGCAATCAAACAACTGGGCCTTCTGAGTCCCCTTTTGGGTCATGTGAAGTCCATTTTTGGAACATTATCCAGGAAGTCATAATTGTGAGCCTGCTTTTGCCGTATATGTTAAGATGAAAAGTATTGAGGAATAGCGCTGGCGATGACGGACAACCGAAATAGGTTGTTTAAGAGGAAGGCTTTTACAGAACGGCTAGTGCATTCGTCGATGCTTTATCCTTGGTAAGCCGTCACTTATCTACTACCGACATTATAGCCTGAGTGATTTGGGGCGAGACGGCCCAATGGTAAGAGCCGCGAATATACTGAACGGAAGGTCCGGGGTTCGAATCCCGCCTCCGCCTCTCGACTTCCCCTGTCTAGGCTTGGGCAACCTGGCAGTATCCCAGCCCCCATGCTTCCTTCGGGTGGCATGGCAGCTAGGCACCGGAAGAGTGCTACAGCTGAACGGAGTGATTTCGCTTAGCCAGGTTAATGAGTGCCAGAGAATTTGCTAAGTATTAGCTCACCATGACTACGTGTGTACTCACTCTACAGCGTATTCTAAGTCATTTGGAGTGATCATCAAAGGTCGTTCGTTTGATCTACTATCGGTCAGAAGAAACCTACTGTGGACGCATGCAACAATCGACTACTTTGCTACCATTTGTGGAAAGATGCGAAGTGATCGTCCCTACAGGGGTACGGTTGCTGGACAAAATTCTGTGGTGCTCTCTTGTCAAGATGCATTATCCTGATGTATCCATGCACTGAAATCGAGTTTCGATCGGAATATGTCCATTGGGTTTCAGTCGGCAGTTGCATTGTCTGAGAACTTCAGATGGGCATTTCAATCGATCAAAACAGTCGGAACGGCTACTGAGTCATGGTTTGAACACTCCTGTAAACTGACCACATCTTTCAATTACAGAGGTGCTCTCGTTTTCTGATGTGTTAACCCATATACGTCAAATATACTGGTGGGCTTGCTTTGGCGAACCTCATTATGATGATGAGTCGCCAGCCGCGCACTTGCGACGAGGTTGAACATCAGTGAAACATGCGCCCATCACTCTCCCATTAGAATACTTGCGATGATTCTAGTCTTCAGGGGAATCTTGTCGATTCCACTCAGCTATTTTCATCACTTAAAAACTTCCTCAGCCGAACGTGACAAGGCTACCATTAGAATACTCTCCGTTGTTTGAAATCCACTTATTCCACACTACTGAGTTTTTTCAAGTAGCTGTCCGTCAATCGAAACTGTTGAGCGAGACCGTGAATGCGTGGGCTCTTCGGGATCCGAGTTGTTTTGGATAAGAGGGTGAGCGTTTCATGATGGCCCAGTCGCAGTAGAGCAAACTATTCATAAAAAACGGAAATTAGTGGAGTTTTTGGGTTTTCTGGCAAATTCTTCGCCACATAGTCTACTCACTAGATCTACCTTTCGAATTCTTATGGTTTTAGAAGGACACAAACCACTGTTGGCCGTTAAGACACGAGCTCAGTAGCGAACACCGGATGATCTATGATCCACGAAATCCGATACATTTGCCTTCTTTGGGAAAACCATCTGGGAGAGAAGCCGCTTTCAAATATCTCTATTCAGCTAAAAACCTTTGAGAAACCAACTCCCCTATAAGGGCCACGGATCACTTTTTCTCGTGAAGTTAAGCCGAGGCCTCTCTCTTTTGATAGATCACCGATCCGCCAGCTGTACGCAACTGGCATGAGACCAGAAGTTCTTGAATACTGCCCATTTCAGGGCCTAAAAACCATTGCAAACAAAACCGTTGTGTCGCTCACCTCTGCCCAATACGTAGTTAGTTTCCGGTGTATTTACGAGAAACGATTCGTTGAATTCACTGGGTAATGTATTCTCTCACCCAGGATATCTGGACTTGAGACTACCCATCACATCACGTGACCAATAGGTACAATACAACTACTTTCACGATATTAGGGAATGGATAACATATGATGATGATGATGTATGTATTTATAACGGACCATTCTGTATTGCTAGAGGTTAAATGTTGGTTTCAAAGTGTATGAGAAAATAAAGTAAGTGACGTCAGCATCAGACAGTTTTGTGGGACCAGGTTTTTTGCAGGCCACTTCAAGTTCAGAGGTCGCACAGGTTTCTTTTGGAAGCAAGGTTCTTGATCCACCAATCGGATTTTAATCGCCTCTTTGATCGATTATGGTCTGGGTCGTACCAGTCTTGATCGGTTCAGAGGTACCCGGTCTGTAATATCGAAGGCTTGCTCTTCGTCGATGACGACTGTTTTCGGCCAAATGTGATGTAATTGTAATTTAGTCACTCAGAGACACGGGGTTGTGTTCTCGCATTCTCTTTGACAAATGCCTTGTCGTACGACCACCATATGGTACTCGATACGAGCACACAAAGACTGGCTGTAGGCCGTGGAAATTTGTCCTTCAGACGGAACCTGATAGTGGGGCTGGAACTGAAGCTCAAACACAGATGACAGCGGTATATGTCGTATCAACTGAGTCTCTAAGCCTGGTAATTATTTCAGCAACCAAGTCACCTTCGAGCGGGAGTTTGATGTAGACGGACTTCTTCCAAAATGAACCTTGTTTAGGTTTGGGCTTTACGAATTCTCTAGTCTTGAACTGTTCAGGATATCCATTCTGAAAGACTGCGCGTTCCCAGTACCTTAGTTCTTCTTGTAAACACTTGGAGAGGCATATCTTCATTGCTCTCTTAGTCAGACATCTAGTTAGGTTACGCTTGTGTTGCAATGGAACGAAGCTATCGAAATGGATTTAGTGACTTTTCCACGGTTGTTTTCTGTGGAATTTGCGCTCTGTGTTCCAACCAGTTTCCTTCCTAATGCTGACATTTAGGAAAATTTACTGTCTGTTGTGTTCTCACTCGATAGCATCCTTGAAATCAGTGTGGACATAACCGAATCCGCGTAGCACGTCTGCGGTGCTAATAGCTTTGTTGGCAAATGTGAAAATGTCATCCGCACAGCGACAATACGATATGGATCGTACAATGAATGCGTTTCCTATCTTTACCGTTGCAATCAATCAAGGCACATACATAGTACATCGTCTCAATGAGTGGGACGTTAGTAAACAATGACAGGATGTCCAGGGAAAAACACATTGCTTAGCACTCTTCAGATCTCTAATTTGGTCGACGAAATCAAAGCTGCCTCAGGCTATGTGGACGCATCTCCCGATTTGTTCCAACAGACTGACAAATCGAGAATCGGCCTGAGTGGTAGGCTGGGTTTATGCATTTTTGGGAGACCATAAAGCCGAGGGATTGTGACAATGGATTGTGTAAGACGTAATATTTTGGACACCGCTTTCTCAGTTGCCGGTGTCTTGTCTTTCTCAGATTCTGTTTTGTCAAATTCGGATCCGTGTGGGAGGATGTTATTCATATAATCAATGTAGTCAGGTTTATCCATCAAGACAGTTCTTGTACATTTATTCGGCTTGGACAGTAAAACTTGGTCGTTCTGCTCTAAACGTTCCAGGACCTCGAAATGTCCCTTTTTTAAAAGTTGTTTAGGTCCGGTTTTGTAGCCAAGGCATTGGTAAAGTGAATTGACTAATGCTGATTTCAGTTGTTCTACATGCATTTCAGAAGAAGGTACTAGCACGGCCAACTCTCAAAATGGACTTCAGCCTCGAGCCTGCCATTCCTGCGACCAGGGAAACAAAATTTGGGACTTAGCACTTGCTAAAGGGTATAGTCCCGCGTCAGCGGAGGAAAGTTATACACATACCTTTCTGAATTGATCGGAGACTTCATGCATGTTGTCACTGGTCGATGACGGTATAATTATTGGAATGGTGATAGCACTACAAAGCAATATAATTCACAGCCCTCTGTCAGTGGGTTTTGAAGGGTCATTTGAATGGCATTCAGAAAACACTACTAACTGCTCCACCAGTAGCGAGAACTTTTCTAGAAAGAGAACACCTCTGGGTGGACTACTTGCAATCATCCCCTTCAGGTAGCCTGTCCAGGGCAGTAACTGAACCTAACTTTGCCGCTTTGCCAAGCTCGGCGAACATATCAACAGCCAGAGGAACTGGGCACTAGTGCGCGCGTCAGCGGAGGAAAGTTATACACATACCTTTCTGAATTGATCGGAGACTTCATGCATGTTGTCACTGGTCGATGACGGTATAATTATTGGAATGGTGATAGCACTACAAAGCAATATAATTCACAGCCCTCTGTCAGTGGGTTTTGAAGGGTCATTTGAATGGCATTCAGAAAACACTACTAACTGCTCCACCAGTAGCGAGAACTTTTCTAGAAAGAGAACACCTCTGGGTGGACTACTTGCAATCATCCCCTTCAGGTAGCCTGTCCAGGGCAGTAACTGAACCTAACTTTGCCGCTTTGCCAAGCTCGGCGAACATATCAACAGCCAGAGGAACTGGTTTCGCACTAGTGCGTGAGACAGACATGCCACCTGAAAAATAGTCATGGTGGTACTCCGGGTGCTTTGACAAATCTTGTTAAAGATTGAAAGTCGGTAAAGTTGAGTGCCAATTGAATGGAGCAGCACAATACCCTTCGGTTTTAGACAGCGTTTTCGCAAGAATACGAGTATGTCATCATCCGAAAAGCGAGCATATCAAATGTCATTTTTTATTAATTTTGGAGGGTTTGCGCATGTAACTACCCCAATTCACGGAGGGCTCGGTGCCTTTAAACCTCAGGGGGGAGGGCGCTAACGTCCGGGCAAAAGGCATTGAGGAATTTTTAATCAATATCTAGATGAGGCACACAGGAACACGGAAAAATGATTTGATCACACCAGCGTTCTTTAATTTCTTCTGAGTTGGTCCACAATACACTACATAAGGTCAGATGTAAGATATTTTGGACCTGTTCCCCCCAGTGTTTACATGACCAAGTGATTCGGAGCATTGCCCGGTGGGAACACCGGATTAGCAGTGTTGAAGTTCGTCGAATGGTATTCGGAAGAAATAACACGCTCGATAGATGAACTGTTCACACTGCATAGGCTGCGCTGGCTTGGCCACGTGCTGCGTATGCCAGTCGACCGACTTCCTCGAAGGGCTCTTTTCGCACAATCACCTTAAGGGTGGAAGGGAGCCAGAGGCAGTCAAACGATGACTTGGAAGCGGAGTGTGAAAGCGATTACCAGCAAACTCAGCTACGCTGGTCATTGTCATTTCCTGTAAGGGGACCCCAATACGGCCCATATCAATAGTTGGAGACGTTGTCAGACATGGCCCAGTCGCGCTCTCAATGGCGCTCATGCATCCAAGCTATTGCCTTCAATACATAGCTTTCTTCCAACCCCCCTCACTTAACAGTCCACCTATAGTGCTGTATTAACGCACAACTTCATCAGCTCCCTTCTCCAATGCGCAGCTACCTACCCCACCTCCCCGAATCATCGGTGAACGCAACTGTGGCAGCTACAGCCACTGTACGACAATTACGAGGTTGTAACATCTGATAATCATGATGATGATTCGGTTCACGTTTCATAGCCTTTATCACCTGTGTTCCACGAGTATGTGGCCTTATATTGGCCAACCTTCCTCTTCCTAACCTCGGCGGAGGGGACAGTAGTGTAAAGAGACCTGTTTGACTGGGGACATCAAACTCTAAGTCAAACTGAATACGGATAGCTAATCGACGTATTGTTAATCCCTGTATATCTTGGAGGTCTCTATATGTGACAAATATATGCTGCTACCCCTGGTATAATCTCAGATGATGATTCGGTTCACGTTTCATAGCCTTTATCACCTGTGTTCCACGAGTATGTGGCCTTATATTGGCCAACCTTCCTCTTCCTAACCTCGGCGGAGGGGACAGTAGTGTAAAGAGACCTGTTTGACTGGGGACATCAAACTCTAAGTCAAACTGATTACGGATAGCTAATCGACGTATTGAACAGGGAAGCAAAAATCTAAGTTGCATCTTAGTTAAAAAAACTGGACACCCATCTTCTCCCGAACGCGTCTTCTTGAACTTTCCTGGAGATTCATTGAATCCACTCATTCGTCGGTTAAATCCAAGCAAATGTTACAAAGTGGCTCCACGAATTTCGTAACAGATCTCCCTTTTTCAATAGATGCAAAGCGAAATTCCACGAAGAACACATAATACTCGCGTGCCGCCACATCAGTAGTATCACCGCTACACCTGTATGCGGGTCTATACCAAGTTGGTGAACGATTTCCATGAACTGCTCTCGTACTTGATATCCTGTTGTCAGTGGGCCGCGCAGAGATGTTTTAAACTGCTCCTCGAGTGTATATTTGATGCCGCCTTTGCTGAAGTTTGTTTGAAATTGAGCTCATTAAGAACAAAAAGCAATGCGGACCTGGCATCGGATTTAACAGAATCCCAACAAACACTAGTGAACACTCACAAGCATTTCCTTAAAATGACGATGAGAATTTGTTCCCGTTTTACTGTATGAGCCGCCTCAGGAGTCTAATTTAAAAAGTGAATTCATTCTTAAGTGCCTGCTTTGACTCCACACAACCTAAAACCAAAGGTGTTTCAATTACCGCCCTAACTATCTATACCAAACTGCTGTTTAATTTCCTCCAGCGGCTAACTGATGTTCAATATGATTTACTCTGCAAAAGCTCAGAGGATTACAATAATGGACAAACGCATTTGACATGTCTAAACTTCGTCGTCTCTCACCGAAGCATAAAGATAAGTTTTACAACTTTTACTTTTAATTAAGCATTCTGTCACTGTGGTTTTTTTAAGCAAGTGGTTTCAATAACAAAAAACGCGAAGGACCAATGTGACAGCCGCGTTTCGCCCGGAACATTCCTTTTTGCCAGCTCACAAAGTGAATTTAAGAAATTCAACACTTCATACTGTCATGTTGGCACGGGCGGAATGTACGAAATCCAAACACTTGATGGCTCCTCCACAAGCTGTGTCACAGACACCAGGAGATTCACAAATTTCGCCCATTCAAATCATTCCTCAAAAACTTCGCAGCATTTCCTTGGAGGAGGTCTGTGAGACGAGTTTGAAGTATATCTATTTGACTGTTGGATGATCTGTCATCTGGGGAAAACTTGCTAAAACTTAGCCTTCTTCAGCATCCTCTGATCCAAGTTGACCGAACATATGCGGAATCATCCCAGTTGAATGACCTGATTACCTCACAGGGATGGTATTTAATGTTCAAAAATGCGTGAGGAAATTCTTACATTTTAAGTTCACAGTATAACACAGTCGACAATGGACCTAAGCTAACCACTAGTTGTGTGAGCAACGGGCAACGATGGCCACTAGAGTCCGATCCGACTCAGTTCGGGCAGACTGGATAAGCCAGGATGAAGCACTTCGAAGGCATTTGAGCCCATCATCTCAACCCTACCGGACTTCACCAAGTCAGACCCCGTAGGAAAGAGGCGTTTCAAAGCACCAAATACAAAAGACCTGGCGAAGTGACCGTTGTTTCGTGAAGCTGATGATGGTTCCCAACATTTTCACCATGTCACTGGCCATGCAAAGCTTTAGAAATATTCATTCTAATATATTAAATACTGGTTTCATATTGATAGCTTGAGGGACCAGAATCATCCACAGTTTCTTGCATCACGCTCTACAGACCTTGTTCAACGTGAAGGAAAGATATGGTGGAAAAACGGCCTATACAGAGAGGTAAGACTGCTGAGTTTTATCTTGTGGTATGCACCCGCACTTCATCAGGTGAATTGCAAGGAAGACTTGTGCAGCGGGGATCAATATCACTAAAATGTTGCACGCGCAGCCACCAAGGGATCGATTCATCAAGTGTCGCTAGTGGTCGAAAGAGTGCAATATAAAAGCTTGCTCCTAACCACGTAGTTTAAAGGTCAACTATACTTCTTGCTGACTAAAGTCGTACAAATGAAGTGGTTATCTATAGGGTTGCTGTTAGGTTGTGTCTCAGTGTCAACGAGCACAACTGTGGCTCCGGAAACTTTAGGTTCCTCGACCTCGACTACTGGAATTCCCACCACTGAAAGAACTGCCGGTGGTGTCGTAAATAATCTTTTCTCTAACACTGGGAATGAAGAAAATACGAGTACACCCAAGTCGAATATGACGACTGAAAAAACGGCTGGTGGCATGCTGCTCCGTCATCGAGTGGCTATTTCACAAGAATCCTCGAAAGTTCGTGGACGAATTATTCTCGCCAATACTCGTTTAGAAGGAAGCGATGCGTGGGGTGTCAACGCTGAACAAGCTGAAGCTGCTTGTGAACGTATCGCGAATTATCAATCGCAAACTGGTGGTTCGAGAAACTCTATATTTCGGTCGTTTTTGCAACAGTTCATTTCTTTTGAACGAAAAACATCCTCCCAAAAAATGGTTGGGCACCTGCTGTCAGTTGGTTCAAGCCACGAAGTAAGTATCCGTATTGCACTCCTAATAAGGTTGCTGAAAATTCTTCACCAACCATACGTTTTCCTCATGCTTTCCCTGTTTCTGTTCAGTGTCTCATGCTATGCTGGTTTGACCATTTCCCATGGAAGCACTGTTCAGATTACCAGTTTGTGACTCCGCTTTGCTTCCTCACTCACCATGATTTGTGTGCGTTAGTTGTTGTATACAATGCATCAGTGACTTCCTCAAATTACCCGCGGCATTCAACTGCGGTTTCCTATCTGTAAAACTGAGATTAGACAATATGGCTGTTTGTTGTATAGGAGTTGCAAAATTCTACCTTTAGTGCAACTGACAGACACTCTACATTGCTTCTCTATCTGACCTCAGACATTCCAGTCTGTCAAAGCTTCGTTTTCGGTAGAGAACATTATTCGCAACGTTTGTCTGTACAGCTGGACTTCATCAGTTAAATCAGGCTATGAGATCCTCTGCTCTGTTACGTAGTCGCCCTGTTTGCCACACATATCACGAGTATTAACTTCGCATTGTTATCCTAATGCACATTAGTTGCATAAAGCCTCCGGTTTCTCCACTTTCAAAATTCATCAGCTAGGCAGTTTCTGAATTTCCAAACTCTCGTTTAGCTACTTGAGCATCAAACTGCATGTGTGTTTTCAAATAAGTGTTGAATGACAAATTGAGTTGGTGTCAAACTGACTGAAATCTAAAGCCTTTACCACTTGTGCATACTGGTTGATTGGTTTTTCTGGCATCTCAGTGACTTACGAGGGAACAACCCCAATCTAGGCATTGTTTCCAACTAGTGTGCAACAAAGTATTGTGTAAAGCTCCCAACGGCCTTATGTCACAGAATCCCTCCCGCCAGTTAGAACAGATTTGTCACAAGCGTTGATATGTGATAATGATGACGTTACTTGTTTTGATCAAGTAGAAATGTGAAACTCCAGTTGACATGAATACTAGGTTTTCACCACAAATTATCGGAACAATTTATCTATTAACGTGTGGAAGCCATGTTTCCGGAATTCGCAAGCTCGATCGCTGTCCACACAGTATTTTGATCACCTGTGGGTACCATGATTACCCATGTGCATTAAATTTGGGCGAGTTCGTGCCGAAGTACGGCAGTGGTGTTGCAGAGGTTATTACACCTGTCCAACCTACTTCGTCAGGTATACACATGAGCAAACACGATGTGTTTATGGTCGATAGAGTATCACGTAAATCAGCCCATGAATTAATAATTCATGAATGAATCAATATGGTGTCATCAGTATCTCAGTTTCGTCGTGGATAACCTAGGTATTTTGACTCATCAATATATAGTGCCCTATATTTTCATCATTGGGCTTTCTCGCTCGAATTTACTACTATATTCGACGGCAATATTCGTAGTAAGATGGACGTTCTTCTTGATGAGTGTAGTGGGTCAGTCAGTGAAGTTGCTGTCCTCGGATTCACTTCAACCTGTCTCATTTGAGCGTCGTCCTCATGCAGTGCTTTTTCGTCATGGTTCTTTCCATTCTAGCCAGTTAGTTAACAATGAAAAATTCCTCGAGGTTCGTTAGCTTGAACTTACTAAGTGAAAATCCTCACCCTGAATGCACTGCAACTTGTCTTATTTGAGCAACGCGCTCATGTAGTGCTTTCTTGTTGTGCTTCGTTCCGTTTGAACCAGTAAGTTAACAATTAAAAACTCCTCGTGCTTCGCTAGTTCGAAATTACTAAGTGGCAGTCAATACGTTATTCAAGGCCATCTACTAGGTATATGCCCCCAATTTTCAGCACCATTTGGCCAGGAAACTGTTTATTTCAAAAAGGCTCATAAAAATTATTGATACTTTCAAACGCCTTTGTAAACACCCGGGGTCAACTCGGTCTGTTTGACTCCGTATTAGATTTTGAAATGTTTGGCAAAGCAACCGTCAAGTTACTGAATAAGTTCACCATAATGGGTAAACCGTACTCGTTAGTGGTGGTGATCCACATCATGCTTCAAAGGTTTACCCATTGTCATTGACTCATATCGATTAGAGTTTGAAGCGGAATGCATTCACCAACACATTTGATGCTTAGGGCTCGAATGAAAATAATTTGGTTATGGAGGTAAGATTTCGATAGAAATATCTTACGGTTAGAGATAAGATTCGGAGTAGCTTCACCGATACGCATGAGAACTTTCACAGGGGACCCCATACAACCAGGACTGGAGGAACAGGTTTGGGGCTAATTGTTCACTCACATGCAAACCTCCAGACGAAATCTGGAACTTCATAATACTTGGGATGCAAGCTTGCCTCTTACTGAGTCTACGTTTTGCGTTCGTCCAGTTAACATCACAGTGCGGCTAAGACAGAAATTTGTCCGAAGTGTGAAGTATCTCTTACCTCCCGTTAGGAGGTATTTTATCAGCGGTCATAGATAACAGCCGAAAACTCAAAATGATTAGTTGACACTGACGATCAGCCGCTGTACAACGTTGTATACTGACCTTCCATTCAACCATACGGTTTCATTAGATTGGTATGAACATGATGCCACTTAGAGTCAAGGCTTGAGTGGCACTTCAGTCGTTCATTTTTTTTATTGAAAAAGCGCTTGCTCTCTTATGTTGGACCTAGTAGTTGTTTGCGTCTATTCGTTAAAACACAAATAATGATGTGAAATTGTACGCCCTTGAACTGGCAAACATAATTTTGTCCCCGGGGTGATATAAGCGAGTTGAACGAATGATCAAAAGGGATATGTTGCTACAATTCAAGAGTTTTCCGCGCATTTTCGACGAAAGTTTTATTTAAACGGACCCTGATAAATGTCTTGGGATTACTGGCCAACTTCGGAGATTTTCGGATGGGAAATAAATAAAATTCATATGCCACCCACTACTATTTTTGCTCTGATATTTGAGCAGGCGCTTCTCTCAGGTTAGCATTTGGCATTTTTCCCTGAAGCCTAAAGTGGGCGCTTCTCTTTCGCCCAATCGTAATTTCGCAGACACGTGACATGAGTACGGCACCACTCTAAACTAATACTGGCCTTACGAGTTAGACAGACTAGCATAAGTGGTCTAATGTATTCCTGCATTCGACGAGCTACGTTGTTCCATTGCGTAAAACGTTGTGACCTCGGGATAAATTGGCTGCTTGGCCCCGTGTGGTTTGCTAGGACAAAACCACAACGTACCGCTTTGCGTTTGCTCTTTTATCAGTCAAGAGCGCTATAGGAAATGCACTGAATACCACCAGTTGACAGTACAGGGTACCAGAGTACCGGTCTGAGTGGATATTTTTTTTAATATGAAGAGTTCTATTTAGCATGAGATCATCTTGACTAAAACTGGATCAATGAAACACAATGTATCCACCAATATATTTGCAGTTCTCACCTAATCACTTCAAGGCAGCAGTTCAACTGGAACGTACAAAGTATACCTTATTGGCGCAATGAAAACTCGCATTCAAGAATGTAGGTTCTAACTAATACAGCAGAAAACATGAAACACCGTAAGTCGTTTCGATTAGAGTATCAGGAACGGATGAATTTTTTCGAACCCAAACGTCGAATGACGTTCCCGCGTTTGTTTATCAATTGAAAGGATTAAAGCAGGTTAATCAAATATACCGTGAGGCACAACTCTTTTGAACCTGCTTTTCGTGCATTCCACTCGTTCTTGCGTCAATGGAGAATAGCGGAAATTTTCAGGTTCGAAAACAAGTGACGAAGATTTTATTAGCACAGTTTTCTACACTCTATTCAGCATACCAGGTTAGTTGGTATTCTTTAAAGATATGTGGAGAGCGCGTGTTTTGAAGCATTTTGATTTCCTTTCGGTGTGGGGATCATCACAAGGGTTGATAAAATCACTCATCAAACATGGCAGGCTTATTCCCATTGTTGGTGTTCAGTGATCTGAACGTACAGGCTACACATTGACATAAATACACGTCGAGCGAGAGGCCGGACTTTTTAGTGCAAAAACCACTAGCACAAACGCAATGACCACTCGAGTGTCGGTAGTTGGGAAATGATCGGTCGTTGTAACTGTCGATGTGGTTATCAGTGCATGTCCAAAAGAATCCACAGCCTAAGCATTTGCTAGCGTTTTAGCCTAGCTTCACCTACACCACAAAATCACCAACAAATTACCCAAATATCCTCAGGTGACCAGCAATGCATGCGCCGCACTCTATCGTCCTGATTTCCGTTCGACTAAATTCAGCATAGTTCATATATATCCACAAATGACCCTTCCTGAAACCAGAGGCATTTCGCTGTGTGAAGCCAGTAATTGTGCTACAGATGACCGTCTATGATTGTCGTTGTGGAATCCAAGTTGAGTGATGCCTAGCTCTGGTCAGCCATTGTTTGTCCTGGATGAGTCATCTGCGTAGCGCGGGTCATCAGATCACTTTTTGCTTTCGCTCTGAGTTTCAACCCCTTAATTGTTCCCACCCTATTCGACAAGTACAGACCACAGTGGGGCACTTTGCCAGTTCCAACTCCGGCCTTATTCGTTTGTGTTACACTGGGGAATGGGTCAATCGGTTGATTCTGCATACGACTCTTCGCACACGACATGTGGCAGTACCTGTGGCAGTGCGCAAGAGATTTTCGGTGTAGTTGGATGTGACAGGCGAATGCAGAAACGCAAGTCAAACCACCATGTACGGACGCGGTGACAAGGCACTCATCGGCAACCTTCAAACTACCCTGGATGTAAACTGCCATCTATTATTTTATCAATTATTGCGCAGCGAGCATTTTTTTAAACTCTATCGAATGTTTGAACCGGAGTGCACCGAATCTATACGATTGGTCGATTATAGATTGTGATGCATTCATCAGCCGACAGTGAACATTTATCATTAAAATTCTGCACTCGGGAGTGACAAGAACCACTTGGCGTAATTGACGAAGTTCAAACGCTCAATCGAACGCGGTGTCTTGCATTGTGGTCAGCCACATATTCCGTCAGTGTGAATAATCACTTTTATCGTATATTTCCATCGGCTTGAGATCTCCTTGGAATTCGTATCAGGATGAGACAATAGATCATTCTATTTGTCAACTGAAAATCTTAGCGGATTTTTAAAATTCAACAAATATTCAAAGGATTCATTTATTTGAGACTGGGTCGTGTGCTTACGAATGAGTAGTGAATTCAGGTGAAACCGGTTCCGATCGCTGGTAGATTCATTGGTTTATGGATATGGCGTTTTCTGTAGAGAGGCGCTTCTGTGTGAAGAAGCACTCCACTATCCCTCTAGGGCTGTTTGAATGAAAAACTTTGCCAGTTGAATGAAAGTTGGAGAAGGATAATGGTCGACCTTACTGAGAAAATCTGGCTGTTTTTAAATCTATTTCTCATCCTTTTCGGGATACAAGATGGTGTACATTACTCGTAAAGAACATCACCCTAAAGAAGCTCCCGAAGACCGTAAAGTCCCATCTCAACAGGTTGCTAAAAACCGCGGTGAAAAGTGCGATTTATAAAATGATTCATTGACGGTTATTGCTGGAATCTAGATACGTAAAGCAGCCATTCAATATCAGGACCATCCCAGGATCATTGATTTTGGCATTATTCGGGAAACATTCAAGCAAGACGCCTAAAAGCGAACACATTCCTAATAAGGCACGAGTAAATAACACGAATTGAATTTTTTCTCATTTTTCAAAACTCTGGTTCGTGAATATGAAACCTTTTACTTTCATTGTGCCTTTTTTGTGGTGCATTCTGGGCTCAATAATATCGCCTTACTAGTTGCTGAAAAGGAAATGATATAAATGTCTTTCTTCGCTCGAAAATCTGATTGAACGTGTTGATCCTTTTCTTCTTTTATTCTTGTGTACAACTTTATTCCCCATTTTGTTGTTTCGATTTTGCTCTTGTGCCATCTTTCTTGTTTTTTTACCGAACGTAATCCGCTCATAGGCCTTGTCGTTGTATTTGTTTGAATCAACACGTGGTTCGGCCAACTGGTAGCTAATTTTCATTGATTCGGTGTAGACTTTTGGATCGTGCTACAAATTAGAAGTTCCCTAATCGGTTGTAAGTAACCGGCGTAGTCCCACGATTTGAGGTTTGTACAATTTTATAATTATTTTATTCATAGTACCGCAGTGGTAGATAAACCTCCATTTGAACGGTTTGTGTTTTGGTGTTAGGCGCGTAACTCAGTGTGGTCCAAATGAATGCTGGAAACAATCAATAGAATGTCCACCTGAGCTGATTCAGCTTGCATCTGTCCAGGTGCCTGGAATTCACGAACTGGCACCAGTGAGCAAATGTCCGGGTTGTAGTGACTTGGATTATTCTTCACTTTCAAAGGACTTGTTTTCTTCGGTCAATCAGAAATTTCCCCGGCAGACATGATAATACTTAAAAATCCTCGTCAGCTTCGTGTGAAGTTACAAACTTTGTCAGTGTCTGTCTGCCCCTTAAGTTCTGGTGTGTGGCGCCTGAGTGATTAGTTAGGATGACCAGCCTCGAAGTACGGTTCAAGATTCCCTTGTGTCCGCCTTGATACATGACCTATTGTTCACAAATTTGTAGAACCTGCCAGAATTTGGCTTCAGACTAGAAACAATCAGGAACTGGAAAATCTACAGATTGACAGCTGGACAGACATGCTATCGTAACTTGCGTTCACTCAGGTAGGTTCACGGGGAGAGGAACTGGCGTGAGCCTTTGAACTTTCGCAGTCGGATGAAAGCGTCGGTGACCTGTGTCGCGCGTAAAATGTAGTCGCTGAGTTACGGATATTATTAGCTAGTATAGAACATAGTTCACCTAAACGAAGAACAGAACTACGTCCGATTCACACGAGAATTCCCACAGGAATTCCTTGGCGTCTGAAGTCGATCTTCTGAGCTTCGCGCTTATTTAATATTCATTTTATATAGGGGGGACCACGACCCGCAGCAATATATCAACTTTAATCTCACGTTTTAATGAGCTGGCGTGAAAGTAATGAGATCGAATGGCACAGGGCGTAACAAATGCCCGCCTATCCTCTTGCGATCAAAGCTAGCAAAATTTAAACGTTTGTTTAACCGTTTCAAAAAGATAGCAAATCTTTATTTCAGATGAGCTGTGAAATTTCATAGTGTTCATCTAACCTGCAGGCGAAACTGAGAAAAACGGCAAAGGGACCCCAAATTCCAAGTGTTCATTTGCACGAATTCATGTCTATGGTAAGAACCCCAATTGCCAATCTTGTATTTTCAGGTTCTTGCCCTTACGCATCTACTGAGCCCCCTACCAAAAGGTTCCTACTGGACTGGAGGACGTTTGGTTCGGTACTCCGTGAATAACATGCACCAGAATACCCATAGTGACCACGTTATCTTGAGTTGGACGGACGGCCGCACTGGAAAGCCAGATATACTTGGCATGACCAGCCAGGACCGCAAACAACTTCATGATGGATACACTTATTGTCTCGCCCTCGACCTTCGTGAATCTACTTGGCAAGCCAGAGACTGCTCTGACCAGCTACCCTACGCATGCCTTATTACACCACGGCATTTCAGTTTCTCCAACAAAGCAACGGTGCACTCCAGTGCCGGGTCCGCTAGTGCAACTACGCCTTCTGTGGAGACCACAATGACAACCCCGTCTACTACGGGGCCAATGAAGTCGACCCCTTCGTCCACAGTACCTAAGAGCTTTGCCCGGGCGTCAAATGAAGTAAGCGTGGGTGCAACACTTGAAAACGTAGTAACAACGTCTACTGAGGAAATGAAAACGGAGAACGAAGAGGCAACCACGGTTACAGAACAAACTACATCTGCAGAAGAATCCACAACAGCGGAAGAATCCACAACAGCGGAAGAAACAACAACCACGGAGGAATCCACAACTGCGGAAGAAGAATCCACAACAGCGGAAGAATCGACAACTTCCGAGGAAAGCAGGACTGCGGCACTTTTGAAAGAATCGGTGCAGCAAACCACTGAATCGCCGGTCATGACAACCCTCTCTGCCATGGAAGAGCAAACTAAAGCTGCCAGTCCGGAAAAGCTCAGTGTTGGCGGTAGTTCGGTTCTAGTGCCCAACTTTTCACAGGAAAAAATGGGTGAAAAAATTGAGCCAAGCGAATTGGTGAATAGCCTTCAAGAAGTGACGACAGAGGCTGGCCTAGCTACCGAAGCTGGTAGTACTCATACTGACGAGGTTGAAAGAGAATGAAGCTAAAAATCAGTCATTTATGTTTCTTAAAGATATACCAAATTTTGGCATCACATTATTCTTTTAATTGATTAAACGGATAAAGGAAAATACGGAATAATAAGCGCGTGTGGACGTATTGCCCAGATACAACAGGGTGATCCAGGGTGGCTACCAAAACATGGCTTACAGGTGTTAAAGTCCATTGTTCTAATTGCATATTTAACAAACAAATCATGTCTATGGACAGTAATTTGCCCCCGTAAAACCCAAATTTGGTTATATACGGTGAGCACTATGCTATCGTTCCCACACCTTGTTTCCATATACCTTCGTTCTCTGCCTGCTCGTAATTCGTAAGATTGCAAAGAATCAGCCCAACCTTAGCTAGCTCCTGAATACACAGGAACCGCTGATATCGAGTACTCAGCATACCTTGAGTACGCGGGACGTTAGTGTACCCAAAACACGTTAAGGCGACATTGTATGTGTGAAACTTGTCCAGGAGTGATTTGATCACGACGAGGTGTGTTCAACAGGTAAATACGGCACGTGGTTCATTTGCACTTTGGCCAAGAACTACACTTGACTTGCGAGATGGGGAATTGGAATCTGAGTGACCATCTCTAGAATGAATATACTAAAAAAACTCATTTGTTACAATAGTACTAGACTCTTCTGAATACTGCCTGGAAATTAAAAACGAAATCCAAGAATAGCTGGCTGGGAAAGCAGAAAGAAGGCGGACGAGGATGGCATCAGATCGGATACCGGAAGTGTCGAGTTTGAAAGAGAGTCTAATTCTCAGTGTAAGGCTGGACCTGTGTTGACAGGTCTGCCGCACTACTTAAAAAACACGAAAATAACATAGTTTTTGGATCTGAATACAAGCTAAATGCACCGGTGAGTGAAGTGGATGTAGGGTCACATTGCTTAGAACCACGAGGAAGTAAATTTGTGAAGGCCTTAATGTCCTCGTTCACTTCTAGCAGTTCTTTAGGGAGAAATATGACTTTTCAGCAGCCGACGCCATAATGTTCTCTCTATCATGGATTGGTGAGCAAATCCGTTAGTGTTAAATAGCCGTTTAGCGAAACCGGATTAAAAGCAGACGATAAATTCGCATTCGGTGACATTAACTGACAACCACATACCAGTTCTTTTTGATGTTTCAAATCGAGTTTACGACATGATGATACATCCGTACAAACAGCTTGCCTCACCTGTTATACAATGAAATTTGGCAAGTAATGTGTACAACTCTTTGTTCGGAATCCAACTCCGACGATAAGGTTTCAGTCAGACGAAATCACTTTTGTAGGTCTCATACGGCCGAGGAATTGAAACGGGGTGTCATGCAACAATAGCGAAGAATGAAAAAGAGTTTCACGAGATTTGGCATCATGTATGTTTGAGTAATTCTTTTATGAGACGGCAGGCAGAAATTCGATTGATCTATGATCTAGCCGACTGGGTTTCACACCCCCTTGCAGGGAAAATTCGTGCATATGACTCCAAAAGTTAAACTGTGTTCAGTACTCATTGGAGCTTGTACAGGCAGGTCAGCGTTGCACGCGCTACATCACTTTGTAAATGCCCCAATTACTTTTGTGATCCGAAACATCCCAATGGCGATACAGAAAGCACGCTTAGGTTCGTTATTCAACACATGAACGCACGTCCGATGCAGTCAGACTACTGACAAGCAGCTTGTTGCCAATAGTTCGCGCTGTTGCACGCGCTACATCACTTTGTAAATGCCCCAATTACTTTTGTGATCCGAAACATCCCAATGGCGATACAGAAAGCACGCTTAGGTTCGTTATTCAACACATGAACGCACGTCCGATGCAGTCAGACTGTGAGTAGTTTCTGTGATTGGAGGTTGAGAGACGTTATATGCTGTGCACTACACACTACTGACAAGCAGCTTGTTGCCAAGCGGTAGTTCGCGCTTTCGAAGTCTCCCGGTGCTTCGGAAGATGCGCACTACTAAGAATTCCCAATAAGGATGAAAAACCTGTACAGTCTTCGCGTTTTTAGCTTCACCAACAGGAGAAAGTCCCCAGTGAAAATTCCCAAAGCGCCTCAGGCCGCCAGTAGACTATTTATATTTCGAGATCCAGTGAACCGGAAACTAGTATCAAACTCTTTGAAAAACGGCTGGGTATCAATAGTGAGGTTTCCAGCGCATCCTTTTTTGATGGCAGTTTTCAGCCGCTTAATCGAGTAAATGATCAACGTAACTCGACTGGCTACTAACGAATCTGTAAGTAGTTAATATCTCGGAATAGGTAGTTAACCACTTCGGGGCAACATGCCTGTCAAATGGAAGTCCAAATTCATCGTGAACTTAGTGTTTTATGCTCCTAAATGATTGCATTCCCGCTCATCCGAAGGATTAGCAATCGGGGGCCTCGGTGCAATCGAGTTAAGAAAAGATGGATGTGAGCTGGTGGATGCACAATTCCTTTCAGTCTATTAGAACACGTTAGAGAGAATCACATTCACCAGTGGCACTAAGCTGGAGCAGAATACTTCCCTCATCGGAGATGTTTGTTGGTTCTCGGGGACAATGGCTGGGTATTGCTTGCGTCTACCAGCACCCTCATCTGTGATGTTATCACACTACAACATGTGGCATAAACACAGTGGAACAGCACAAGTGTTGCAGCCATTTCGTGATCATACTTGTGCTACCAACTCCTTCGGAAAAATCTCTCCAACGCCATTAAGAGAAGAGACAGACCCGAAAAGATACCTGAAGTTTGAGCAAAGATAACCTATGGTTGCCTGGTAAGGCCTTGGTAAGGCCCGGTCATACTAGCTTACTGTTTTTGTGCTTTAAAGAGGACTGATTTTAGGCGCTTTTGAGTCCGTTCTCGTTAATTTCATTTGAAGTGAACTCCACTTATTAAGTGTACCCAATGCACCCCAGTGCATATTCTCATGAAAGTTTCTCTGTCGTTTATGAACTCCTTATGCATGGAAAGTTGATTACTTAAGTGTGCGCCATTAGGCTGCATTCTCGCGGACCAACCAAGGAAAAAACCAAAACTATCTGCTGAAGCCTTTTTAAAAAACTCATATGCATTTTTGGTTTCCATTGAGAAACACCCATATAAAGACCCGACTAGGTAATTTTTGCAAGCCAGTTAGTTACTACTAACTACTTATTAGCGAATCTCTTATCAATTTCACCGGAGCAAGACAAGTGAGACGCTGAAAGGGTTGGATGGTATGCTGCAACGCGCTGACGTCAAACTTTGGGAAGCTGAGTACCTTCAATACAGATGGACTTGGAGGCGTTCCAGCATTTGTGCGGCTCTCTTTAATGTTTCCCCTCTAACCGCAACTTTCGCAGTTTGAATTGCGTGTGAAGCTAGATACGGTTCTTTGAAAGTCAAGGTCAAGTTCTTAAACTTTTCGCTAATACTTGTCCTCATACTGCAGCTGGACTGGGTCAGTTCTGTATAAAATCTCTGGGGTAAATTTACCCAAGTGACTCACAGGTGCCCACACCACTGAATTGGAAGTCGTACGACCTCAGACTCTTTGTAATCAGTGCCTTCCATTCTGCTCAGACGACCGCACAAACAGTTGACCAATCATCCGGAGGAAGGGAAAATCGCGCTTCTGCTATGTCACGAAAGACACCGAACGGTAATTAACCCGTTGTGAATTCATGCCCCTTAGAACTGAAGCAAAAACATGTTCTGATTCCCCATAAGGCCTATTTGGAAGAAGAAAAGATTGTATAACGGTGAGAATGGTCCACCAATTTACACAGTTTACGTTCATGCTTAACTTACACTGACTGGCGACTGAAAACAACACATGCACAAGGCACCTTCCTTTGGAGTATCCCGTGGTTGACACCGTGACCTCGATAAATATTGAGGATCGGCTCGTCACCCTTGTTTCAACCGTTAAAAAGCAGCATGGTTTCCTAATGAGGGCCGAGTGTTTAACGGTTTCATTTTCCTGGTTGCTTCGAAGAAGGAACGCCAGTTCCTAGCGATCTGGATGAATGAAGTTAGCGATCGTCCAACGGGTTCAGTAATTTCACCAAGTACTAAACGTGTTTTTCGATCGCACCCTTACACATAGCCCGACACTGAGACAAAATGTGACTTCTTTACACCAGTAGGAAAAGACTGTGATCAGGTTTTCATTAATTTCCCTCTTTCGGTGAAACTTTCTCTCCGTGCAAACATTTTGAAATCCTTCGTGAGCGTTTTATTCTGTGGTGTACGACCTCTTTTATTTTCGGCGACTAATAGTAACGTAGTCGAATGGATGACAGTGGCCGCTACGCAGTTCCGTTCATAGGGTAATGCTCTACTTTTTTGGAACAATCTGTAGCGAGTAGCCTGAGAACTCTGTCGCTTTTTACTCTGTATGCTCTAAAACGCTCTGTGTGCCACACCTAACCCTGAACCGAAGACTGCCTGTGCGAATTCCCGACACCATGACTTTGTTTACCACGTCTCGCTAATCTGGCTAATTACTGTGGACTTCAAGTTGGTATTTTGCTACGTTCTGGGACATTGTGAAAGCCATCCTCAACTTCTGAGGTTTGGAAGTGTGTCCACAGCACAGCGTTTAGTCGATAAAACTTCACTCTTCATTTTTACGTATCACTCAAAGTGAACGTCTCTGAACACCGGCCTTATTCAGCAACCACCTCAATTTCTAACAGTCTCGACAGCGTTGCATCCGACAACGTCTGTTCAGAGGGAGCGATCTTAAATGAAAATTTTTCGGAACTGACAGAAGGAAGGTTTCAACTTTGGTATGGGATTTCTCTTTCTTCTCTTCTTTTGAGCGCCACACCCGAAGATGCTCACTTCATATTCCCGACAAGTTCTGAGGAATAGATCTTACCCGAAGTGAAGCGAGAACTGAATCGTTCCGCAATGTTCTGAGTGAAAATGCTCTGTCGGTGTGGTCAGACAGGGCAAGACTGACACCAAGATTTCGTCTTCTCCCCGTTTGAAGGCATATCCGGAGCCAGCTTCTCAAACACTCCTCTGGACAGTCATTCTTGGTTTACGAGGTTCGCGAC